CTCCTGCCTCTACTACCAGGCTACCCTCCACAATCAGCATGTCCATGCCTCTACTACCAGGCTACCATCCACAATCAGTATGTCCCTGCCCCTACTACCAGGCTATCCTCCAAAATCAGCATGTCCCTGCCACCCACACCAGGTTACCCTCCACAATCTGAATGTCCCTGCCACCCACACCAGACCAGCCCTCCACAATCAGCATGTCCCTGCCACCGACACGAGGCCACCCTCCACAATCAGCATGTCCTTGCCACCCATGCCAGGTTACCCTCCACAATCAGCATGTCCCTGCCACCCACACCAGGCCACCCTCCACAATCAGCATGTCCCTGCCACCCATGCCAGGTTACCCTCCACAATCAGCATGTCCCTGCCACCCATGCCAGGCTACCCTCCACAATCAGCATGTCCCTGTCACCCATGCCAGGCTACCCTCCACAATCAGCATGTCCCTGCACCCATGCCAGGCAACCCTCCACAATCAGCATGTCCCTGCCACCCACACCAGGCCACCCTCCACAATCAGCATGTCCCTGCCACCCATGCCAGGTTAACCTCCACAATCAGCATGTCCCTGCCACCGACACGAGGCCACCCTCCACAATCAGCATGTCCCTGCCACCCATGCCAGGTTACCCTCCACAATCAGCATGTCCCAGCCACCCACACCAGGCCACCCTCCACAATCAGCATGTCCCTGCCACCCATGCCAGGTTACCCCTCCACAATCAGCATGTCCCTGCCACCCATGCCAGGCTACCCTCCACAATCAGCATGTTCCGCCTCTACTACCAGGCTACCCTCCACAATCAGCATGTCCCTGCCCCTACTACCAGGCTACCCTCCACAATCAGCATGTCCCTGCCCCTACTACCAGGCTACCCTCCACAATCAGCATGTCCCTGCCCCTACTACCAGGCTACCCTCCACAGTCAGTATGTCCCTGCCTCTACTACCAGGCTACCCTCCACAGTCAGTATGTCCCTGCCACCCATAGCAGGCTACCCTCCACAATCAGCATGTCCCTGCCTCTACTACCAGGCTACCCTCCACAATCAGTATGTCCCTGCCTTCACTACCAGGCTACCCTCCTCAATCGGCATGTCCCTGCCACCCATACCAGGATACCCTCCACAATCGGCATGTCCCTGCCACCCATACCAGGATACCCTCCACAATCAGCATGTCCCTGCCACCCATCTATACCAAGCTACCTACCACAATTAGCATGTCCCTACCTCTAGTACCAGGCTACCCTCCACAGTCAACATGTCCCTGCCACCCACACCAGGCTATCCTCCACAATCAGCATGTCCCTGCCACCCATACCAGGCTATCCTCCACAATCAGCATGTCCCTGCCACCCATACTAGGCTACCCTCCACAATCTGAATGTCCCTGCCACCCACACCAGACCAGCCCTCCACAATCAGCATGTCCCTGCCACCCATGCCAGGTTACCCTCCACAATCAGCATGTCCCTGCCACCCATGCCAGGCTACCCTCCACAATCAGCATGTCCCTGTCACCCATGCCAGGCTACCCTCCACAATCAGCATGTCCCTGTCACCCATGCCAGGCAACCCTCCACAATCAGCATGTCCCTGCCACCCACACCAGGCCACCCTCCACAATCAGCATGTCCCTGCCACCCATGCCAGGTTACCCTCCACAATCAGCATGTCCCTGCCACCGACACAAGGCCACCCTCCACAATCAGCATGTCCCTGCCACCCATGCCAGGTTACCCTCCACAATCAGCATGTCCCTGCCACCCACACCAGGCCACCCTCAACAGTCAGCATGTCCCTGCCACCCATGCCAGGTTACCCCTCCACAATCAGCATGTCCCTGCCACCCATGCCAGGCTACCCTCCACAATCAGCATGTCCCAGCCCCTACTACCAGGCTCCCCTTCACAATCAGCATGTCCCTGCCCCTACTACCAGGCTACCCTCCACAATCAGCATGTTCCGCCTCTACTACCAGGCTACCCTCCACAATCAGCATGTCCCTGCCACCCACACCAGACCAGCCCTCCACAATCAGCATGTCCCTGCCCCTACTACCAGGCTACCCTCCACAATCAGCATGTCCCTGCCTCTACTACCAGGCTACCCTCCACAGTCAGTATGTCCCTGCCACCCATAGCAGGCTACCCTCCACAATCAGCATGTCCCTGCCTCTACTACCAGGCTACCCTCCACAATCAGTATGTCCCTGCCATCCATACCAGGCTCCCCTCTACCATCACCATGTCCCTGCCACCCATTACCAGGCTACCTTCCACAATCAGCATGTCCCTGACACCCACACCAGGCGACCCTCCACAATCAGCATGTCCCTGCCTTTACTACCAGGCTACCCTCCACAATCAGCATGTCCCTGCCTCTAGTACCAGGCTACCCTTCACAATCAGAATGTCCCTGCCTCTACTACCAGGTTACCATCCACAATCAGTATGTCCCTGCCTCTACTACCAGGCTACCCTCCACAATCGGCATGTCCCTGCCTCTACTACCAGGCTACCCTCCACAATTAGCATGTCCCTGTTCCTACTACCAGGCTCCCCTCCACAATCAGCATGTCCTTGCCTGTACTACCAGGCTACCATCCACAATCAGCATGCATCCACTATCGGCCTCCCTGCTCAATCAAAAAGATACCTACCCTACTTACACATACCAGGAAGCATAATATATTTTTAAATAAACAAAATAATGTTACCATCTGAACAGTCACAAGTGAGCTACATTCACATCATATGGCTATAGTCAATTTCAAAGATAAATGCCTATACCCTCACCATAATCCCCACTCAAGGCATACTTAGAATTGATAGGTGCAGTACAAAAATGCTATATGAAAAATATAAAAATTGGTGACAGTATTTATTTAATATAACCAAATGTTTTTTTATAGTTTTTTATTATTGAACATGAAAAGTATTTAATGTTGTACATGCCCAGACTGGCATGGCATGATAACATAATAACTTTTCCTGGAACAGTACTGTACATTGTATACAATTGTATACAATTGTTCTACTGTATAAATATGTTTCAAGCAGAACAAAACCTAATTACTCTATTTACCCAATTTCCTATTTGTGTTTGAATAAAATGCTTTTAAACAGCTTGCTCATGCCATCACTCCCTCTCGCTGTACTTTGTTGGGCCTTGAAACATCTAAAATGGTTGATTTGTTATGTTAACTTTCTGACTATTTATGTCATAGTTTGAACAAATATTTTAATATAACTGACGCCGTTTTTCCCCATTCATTTCAGCTATTCATGGTGATGTCTTTAAGAATAGCATGCAGAGCATATGAATTGCTAATAAAGTAAGTGATTTCTATGACAACTGAATTTTGTACTAGAAATCACAAAAATATCAAAAACCACAATTTTATCAGTGTTTCTGAGTATCCTATTTAGTTGTGATGATGCAGCTAGTAACTTCTGATATCAAGTATTTTAGCTTAACAATACAAAATGCACCTATATTTGCTGAAAATTGTCACAGAGGGCACTATATAGCTTTTTCACTCTCCCAGTACGTGATTTATAACATACACCGAGTGACCTTCAAATTGGAGTGATAATTATGACAATTTTATGTATTTATTAATTTTATATTAAAAAATCTATAAATTATGGGACTGGTAGCAGCTCAATAATCATTTATATAAATAAATTTGTTTGCACTTACTCTTTGCCTTCATTGGGGTCTACTTTATAATCCTAAAAAAATAAAAAAAATGTTTTTTTATATTATAATTACATACCTAATATTTACTAAATATTTATTCTATATTTTGTTTAATTGTGGGACAAGGTGTGAAATGTGAAACCAAATGTACATGACCTAGCTTGTGTACCAGTTTCAGGATGTTTGTTAATTATATGTCAAATTGTGGAAGTCCACAAAATACCTACTGTGGTTGTTACATTGGTTTCCACATGTATGTAATGTATTTTTCATCATACCAAACAAATTTGGCCAATGACTTATGCTGATAACATGATTATTGTCATTGACAATAGGTTATATTGTTGTAATATAATTTTTGATAAATTAACATAACAATTACTATGTTTTAAACATAGAAAGATGCCAAAATTTGCATGTATGATGTTATCTGAGTTCAAGATGGTTTTTCCATTTAGTATAGAATATGCTTTTATCACCTTGGGCATTGGGCATTTTAGCATTTCCATGGTTATATGCTGTTACCATGACATCATTGTAAACAAGATCATAGTACCAACAACTCAGAATATGTGACATGTTGACTACAAGTTAGCTGTAATTTGATTGGTTGCTCAACACTCAGAAACAGTCATTATACAAATTAGGTGAATGACAGTTATTTGATATTCATATTTCATGCATGTGATTTATAATGTATGACTCACACACCTACAAATAAAACTATGTCATTCCACATTTGAACACCCAATGTCAATAGTTGACAGTTGGAGACAACATCCTGTTTTCATGTTGCAATTGTCCACTTCAAATACCATTCCAATTAAAGTGATAAGGCATCCAAACGCGCAAAGATGTCCAAATTTTTGAAACTTACATTTATTTATAGAGGAGAAACTATATCTACTTGGGTATTAGGTTTTCTGAAGGAATCATCTGCTTGCACCAATAATAGTTTGTATAAAAATTATGTCAATGTTACATGATATTGAGTGTACATGTTCCAATACAAAATAGCATGTTTACTTGGCATACATGTATAATTAACTAGAAATAAGAGAATACTGAATAAATCCTGACATTTTTCAGACTAACATCTTATGTCAACAATTAAAGGGAAGCAGAGGTTTGTCTTTTGTTACTCTGTACATGAAATTTGAGATCTATGAATGAATTCTGTCGAGAAAAACAACTTGTATGTGCTGCGAAATGTCCTAAATATCGGGTATAAAACAGGCTGTGAAGCAGACGACGCCTGCTTTGCCTGGCATAATTTCGCCTCTAGAGGGCCAGTTCAATGATGTCATGAGTGAACACAGATAATTGAACCCATTCATTCTAGTACGTCAATCCCATAGAAATGCTACTATGGAAAACCTTGTTAACTGACAACTTAAAAGTTGACACATGGCGAGGTGTTGTGCGATCTCAAATCTTATGTACAGAGTGTCAAAAGCCAGACCTCTGCTCCCTTTTAACAGAAATCATAGTCGTGTTTTCAAAATTGTTGACAAAAGTTCAAAACCCATAAAAAAAGATTCAGACGTAAAGAAAACTTACAATTTCTTCCATTAGGTCCTTGACCACCATTCCACTCTGCTTAGTACGATGTGATGTGACCCACAGCCAACCATCCCCTAATTCATTCTGGACAGTGAACACTTCTCCTTTCACAAAACTGAAAATAGTTAATGAAACATAAGAGTAAGAGGTAGTGATATAATATTCAATTGAGTGTGGTGGCAGAGGCGGTAATGTTGACAAGGAAATAATACAGATGAATAGTTCTGCTGTACATGTATCAGTAGAACTCATTCTTACATGTATGCATGTATGGTTACTGTAATTGTTAGTATATGGTATATAGTGGACAAATGCAGTGCTTTCAACTCAATGTTTATCAATATCAATTTGGCAAGAAGAAATCCATGTTTTTTCTTTACTAATTTTCAAGAAGTTAAGTGTTGCTTGATGTTTATTCTAATAGAGGTTCACCAAAGGTATATATACATATATACAAACTATCAAATAAATATAACTATCAACAAGCCATGCATGGCACAGTCCCTGTTAGTTATCAAACTTAAGATATATAATTTTGTTTATAGTAATATAGTTCAAACATAAAAATGTCAGATTTGAAAAATAACATAATGTGCATCAGGGACCCATAATATCTTATGTAAGTACCAAGTTTGAATAAAATCCATGCATAAACGACCAAGATCCGGTTCGATTTTGTTAGCACGAAAATGGCCGCCACTTGGCCATTTTGAATCAGATCGTCAAACAAATATATCTATAAATTTATGACATGATCTTTAATGAATATAAAAATTTTGTAAATAATCAGTCAAAGCATGGCAAAGATATGGCACTATAACTGCATTCATTAAAACATAATGGCCAAATGGTCAAAAAAATAAGTCCCCATTTTGGGACTGCAGCAGCTATCAAGAACTCAAATAGCATTTTCACCAAAAATACAGTACAGTTCTCGCGGAAGCTTTGGCTTTTGTGGCATCATTGTCGCCTACGCATGGCTTCATTGTCGCCTCAGCATCG